GGCAGGGGCCATCCCTCCGAACAGCCGGGCTGGGACCCGCCGGTGGGTTTGCAGCTGCCTCCCTGCAGTCTCCAGCGAGCCGCCTCGCCCTTGGCGCCAGGCGATGCAGTGTCAGGAATGGGTCTGATCTGCCGAATGCTCGGCACGCCCTCCCGCGCCGTGCCAGAGCGGGCGGGCACTCAGCAGAGCGAGAGGGCATGGCAGGCCACTCAGCCCTACCCCGCCTTGAAAAAAAATCCCGCAGTGGTGCTCTGCCCCTCCCAAGCCCGCAGCCCTCCTGCCCTGCCCTTGGTCCGGCTGCGTCTGAATAAATGGCACTCGCGCGTTGCTAGTGGCGCTGAACAAAATCAATTGCCGGGCTGCTGCGCTTCTTAGCAATCGCTTAATTGTAGCTCTGCACCTTCAGCTGCTTCTGGTAGGGAAACGCCTTGTCTGCTGCGTCAGTCCTGCTGCTGCAGCTACTCGTTAGGTTGCTGCTCCACTGGCCGGGTGTAGGAAAAGGGAAGGGCTGTAGAACATAGAAAAAGCTTTTTTGGGAGGGGAGGGGAGGGGTAGGAAAGAGGAGCACATTCCTGAAAGCCTAATACAATGAAATGCCCTTTCAACCCTGTTTCAGTTCTGGGAGGTCATCAGTGACGAGCATGGCATTGACCCCACTGGCAGCTACCATGGAGACAGTGATTTGCAGCTAGAAAGGATCAATGTTTACTACAATGAAGCCACTGGTAACTTTTTGTTTATAGCTCTGTGTCCTCCTGAAGTCAAAACTAAATATTCTTAAAGCACATCTCTGTGTGTGTCTATTATAGAGGTATATGTAATGAAGTTCAGTACATTCTACACTTGGTAAAAGGCTCCCACTGAATTACTGTTAAATCCTTGGCAACGCTTTAATACCTACTTCAAATTCAAGTCCTCATCACACTCAAGTCTGTTCTTTTTAAATACCCCATTTCTTCACTTGTCTGGGCAGCAGCAGTCTGTTTCCAGTGAATTGTGATGAGCTCTGCTCTGAGCACAGTAGCCTGTTTGTTAAATAGCTGACTGCAAGTCTGTAATCTGGTTTTTGTTCCTCCCACAGGTAATAAGTATGTGCCCCGTGCAATTCTTGTGGATTTGGAGCCTGGCACAATGGACTCTGTCAGATCTGGACCCTTTGGTCAGATCTTCAGACCTGACAACTTTGTCTTTGGTATGTAATTGTCTGTATTTGCAGTTGACTATTGCCATAACATTAAACTGAATATCCACTCTATGCCCCATACTAACACAATTGACTTGGCTCCAAGAAATGAGAGACTTAGTTGGTAATTGGTGCCTTTATTTGCATAGTACTTAACAAACTGGGTCCTGACCCTTGCTAGGAGTTCCAAGTAGTGCTGTAATATAAATGTTCCGCACTAAAAAGACCATATGAAACTGCTCCATGTTCTAGTGACTAAATCAGCATCTTTCCACTCTGCCTTCTAGGTCAGAGTGGTGCTGGAAACAACTGGGCAAAAGGCCACTACACAGAGGGAGCTGAGCTAGTGGACTCTGTCCTGGATGTGGTAAGAAAGGAATCGGAAAGCTGTGACTGTCTACAGGGTTTCCAGCTGACCCATTCTCTAGGTGGTGGCACAGGGTCTGGGATGGGAACTCTCCTCATCAGCAAAATTAGAGAGGAGTACCCAGACAGAATCATGAACACCTTCAGTGTAATGCCATCTCCAAAGGTGTCAGACACAGTGGTTGAACCCTACAATGCCACCCTTTCTGTCCACCAGTTGGTGGAGAATACGGATGAAACCTACTGTATTGACAATGAAGCCTTGTATGACATTTGCTTCCGCACGCTGAAACTCACAACCCCTACCTACGGGGACCTCAACCACTTGGTCTCCGCCACCATGAGTGGCGTGACCACCTGTCTCCGGTTCCCCGGACAGCTGAATGCCGATCTCCGCAAGCTGGCAGTCAATATGGTGCCTTTCCCTCGACTGCACTTCTTCATGCCAGGGTTTGCCCCGCTAACTAGCCGGGGCAGCCAGCAGTACCGTGCCCTGACGGTGCCAGAGCTGACGCAGCAGATGTTCGATTCTAAAAACATGATGGCAGCCTGCGATCCCCGCCATGGCCGCTACCTGACTGTGGCGGCGATATTCCGTGGCCGAATGTCCATGAAGGAGGTGGACGAGCAGATGCTCAATGTCCAGAACAAAAACAGCAGCTACTTTGTGGAATGGATCCCCAACAATGTCAAGACGGCTGTCTGTGACATCCCCCCTCGTGGCCTCAAAATGTCCGCCACTTTCATTGGGAACAGCACAGCCATTCAGGAGCTGTTCAAGAGAATCTCTGAGCAGTTCACTGCCATGTTCCGGCGTAAGGCTTTCTTGCACTGGTACACTGGCGAGGGCATGGATGAGATGGAGTTCACTGAAGCAGAGAGCAACATGAATGACCTGGTCTCAGAATACCAGCAATACCAAGATGCCACTGCTGACGAGCAAGGAGAATTTGAAGAGGAAGGAGAGGAGGATGAGGCTTAAGATTAAAAAGGCTTAAGAAAATCTTTAGTAAAAAGGCAGGCAAGTGTGTTTGAATGAAGTCTGTTCAGTTGTGCTGAAGCATGCTTTATTATCTATGGTGCCCTTTACTGTTGCCTCTGTCAGCAGTTTTGTAGCCTTGACTGTCAATGTAACAGTAGTTGCAGAGAGAACCTGTAAAAATCTCTGTTTAAATGGCTAACTTGTCAAATATAAAAGCCCTCTGTGTTCTAAATGGTGTGTTAGATTTATTTCTCTCTTTTCCTACTAAGAAAAGTAGAGCTGGGACAAGCTTCCTAATTGCAATCTCACATTAAATTGTGCGTGGTTGGCAAATATAAAAACTTGTCAGGCTATCAATCAGTAAGCCATCACTTGCACTGATATTCTAGTGATTAAGATCTTTATTCGCATTTTTAGAGATCATGCCAATAAAAAATGCAATCTTCTGGTGCAGAAGCTGAACAACTAATCTATTGTTGGAAAAGCTGTTTTAATAAAAACAAGACACTTCCCTCAAGGATTTTGCAGTGTCTATTTATGGGACTATATATGGTAGTGAGATTGGTTAAACAGTATTAACTTGTCAAAACTGATCTCACCGTGTGGCTGCAGCCTTCCCTTGTCATTTAACAGCTCTTAATGCACTTGTTACAGGGCTTCCAGAATGTTGGGCAATCTCCCCTCCCCGTGACTGGAATGAACTTGAGCAGCACAGATCCCATTTGTGAAATGAGATGTGTGCGCGCACAGGGGCATGAGGTTAGACTTGCATTAGCAATACTGTAGTTATGGTTGATCGGTTGTGTTTATGCCTAAAGGCCCATTCAGGTACTTAATGCTTATTCTCAAAGGTGAATGCTTTTCACAATCGTGACTTGTTTCCCTTTTATAGCTTTCTAGAGGCAGTGACTCACCACCATGTTACTAGAATCAGCCAGTTTGGCCAGAAGAGTACTATCAGCCTCAGGGTTACACACAACATAATAAAACAAAACTTAACTACCTTCTTGGAGCAGGCTCGCAAAAAGAAAAACCCTACACTTGTCTGTCTCTTACCCTACATCTAGGCTTCTGCAGACTTCCTAGTGCCTGAAATGTTAATAGTCAATGCACAAAGAAATGCAGCATGACTCTTTGAGGAGCTGCCTTCTAAACCACTGTTTTGGTTTGCAAAGTGTTGGGGGGGGGGGCGAGAAGGGGGGAGGGAGAGAAGCCGTGGTAGAAACAGTTAAAATGTATTGGTAACACCACGTTACCTGAAGGTGAACATTTTACCTTTTTTAGAGGGATCAGTGACCCTATAATGTGCTAATGAGCTATAGATCTTAAAGGACCTGTGGTGGGGCTCTCAAACTAGAATAAATCCTACTCACCAATGTAGGATGGTTGAGAGTAATAGCCTCTGACCAGATTCTGACTCTGTCTATGATGTTA